GCAGCGGGCCGGGTGCTGTGAGGCGAGGTGCGGGGCTCGGCGGCGACCCCGGGGCGGCGGGAGGGCCCTGCCCGCTCCCCTCAGCCATGGCGCAGGCGGCGCTGGGCGCGGCGGGCCTGCACTTCGACGAGCTGAACAAGCTGCGGGTCCTGGAGCCCGAGGCGGCGCAGCAGACGGCCCAGCTCCGCGAGGAGTGCAGGGCCTTCCTCGACAGTGAGTCCTGCGCCGGGCCCCGCGCGTCCCTGCCCTCCCTTCAGCCCGGCCCTGCCCTCAGCCCGGCCCGCTGCCGGCCCCGGCGGCCCCTGAGGAGAGGGTCTGGCCGAGCGCCCCTCGGGGAAGGGCCGGGGTGCAAAGGGCTGTGGCGACTTCCACAGACACCCAAGGGCCTTCCTCTCTTCTGCCCCCTTTTATAGCCTGCCCAGAGCCAGGAAAGTCTTAAAATGCACTTGTTTACAGTAAAATCTAATAACATAAGCCACATCTAAAAATTGCCGTGTGTAGTAGAAGCATTAGTCTTCTTTAGGGGTGTTTTGAATATTACTTGACTTTTTTTTTTCCTTTGCAGAAATAGTAGAATTTCAAAAAATAGTGGGTAGCTTAATTGAACTTGTTGATCAGCTGGCAAAAGCTGCTGAAAGTGAGAAGATGAAGGTACTGTGCAATTAATTACTGGCTTGTCATGTACTCCACTCTGTTCTGTGCACGAAAAAACAGATCTCTCCCTGCCCCCTCTTACAGCATGAGCAACCTTTTCCTGTCGCTCTTGTACAGGTGTTTCCATGGCAGTTAACATCTGTCTGTCTGTCCATCTGCATGGGGCTTTTTAATTGGTATTAACATCTAGAGTATGTCTGTAGGCACACTCAGTATCGAGCTGCTCCTGCATTTAACAGGCCTGCTGCTCCTGCCTAGCCATGTATTTGCACAAAAATAGAATGAGTATTTTCTTAATCACTCCTGCAAGTAGAGCTTTGTCTTCAAAGAGGCAGGAGAGACTCTGGGAGGAGGATGAGGAGGGTGAGGGCTTCCTAAACACCAAATCAGTGAATAGCTGTATCAGCAAATACCTTTGACGTTTTCTTTATTTCTATGTGTCACCGAGTGGTGTGAGTTTTTGCCATGTTATTGTGGAAATAGAAATCAATGTTAAGCACAATTGTCGGTAATTACTTTTTTCCTTATTTGTTATGGGGGAAAGAATTGTAACCAGAGCTTGTAGTGACAGCTGTCTGTAGCAGCAGTCACCAGTGACCAGCTGATTTCCAGAGGAGTCAGTGACTTTTGTTCCTGGAGTCTGAAATGCCTTATTCTGCCCAACCTCCACAGGCACCGTTTGCCTCTTCCACCCACCATTTAGTGTTCAGGTGTCAATCTCCATCCCTAGTGCTACTGAAACACTTCAAAATGGACCCGTTGGTAGCGAAAGGGGTTAGAAAAAATAAAAAATCCCCATACAAGTACACCCCTGACCGTCCTGTTTTGACAGGCCATTGGTGCCCGAAATTTGCTGAAGTCTGTAGCAAAGCAGAGAGAAGCTCAGGAACAGCAACTTCAGGCTTTAATCGCTGAGAAGAAGATGCAGCTGGAAAGGTGAGAGGTGAGGGGGGTGTGAGGGGGGTGTGAGGGGGTGCTGGGCCATCCCAGGGGGCTGGGAGCTGCTGCTGACCCTGGGGTCTCCTTCCAGGTACCGAGTCGAGTACGAGACTCTGTGTAAAATCGAAGCGGACCAGAACGAGTTCATCGACCAGTTCATCTTTCAGAAATAGAGGATTCTGAAAATAAAACCAAACTCACTTGGGAACCTTGACCATTCCAGAATCTTGAAAATTCCAAAAATATGCAATTTTTCACTGTGTATGAATGAATAGATGGTTTGTGCAAATGGGAGCGTCTTTTAATTCAGCGTGAATTACGCTACAAGTGGCAATAAGGAGGGCTTTCCAACAGGTGTCAAGACTGTTCTGTCCTTTGATTTTATAAAATTTTGTACAGTCAGTAGTTCTAATTCAAATTATAGTTTGATTAATACTACTGTTGCTATGTTTTGTCTCTCGCTTTTTGAATTGTACAGCTCTTTCACAGAAATTGGGAAATAAATTATTGTTTTCAGACTTTCTGGATATACCAGGAGTTGCTTCTGCTGTGCTATTTTTGAGCTTAAGAGTTTACACCTCCCCGGAGACTCAGTGATTTTCCTGTATGTGGTATTTTTCGTGGCTGTAAAGACACAACTTCCAACAGGTGTCAAGACTGTTCTGTCCTTTGATTTTATAAAATTTTGTACAGTCAGTAGTTCTAATTCAAATTATAGTTTGATTAATACTACTGTTGCTATGTTTTGTCTCTCGCTTTTTGAATTGTACAGCTCTTTCACAGAAATTGGGAAATAAATTATTGTTTTCAGACTTTCTGGATATACCAGGAGTTGCTTCTGCTGTGCTATTTTTGAGCTTAAGAGTTTACACCTCCCCAGAGACTCAGTGATTTTCCTGTACGTGGTATCTTTCGTGGCTGTAAAGACACAACACACACAGAGTCAGTGGTAACTTTTATCTATATTGACTACATTATTTTTTGTAAGGAGATGGGGGGGAAAAAAACCACAAACCTGCAATTTATGATTAACAGAAGGGATCGATTGCAGACACACAAAAAAAGCAGAAAACAGGGCAGAATTAAGAACATTAAACCATGCCCAAGGTACGTCTGTGCAGGCAGTAATATCAGAGTCCCATTCCTCCAGGGGCGTTATCAGGGACAGAAGTGCAGAGACAAACCCTCCCGTGTGCAGGTGACACCAGCCCTGGGGATGGACTATAAATGTGAATGTGACATTTAAAAAGGGAATGGCTGTGATCTAAAAATGAAGCCTCACGTTGAAGTGCAAATAGATGCATTTTACGTCTGTCCTTAGGCAACCAAATATGGAAATGTGACATTTAAAAGCCCGTGGAAGGCTCCCATTTTATACCAGAGAAGTCCTGAAATACACCCAAAAGCCTTCGGGGTGACCTGTCGCGTCACACGACGCTCCGAGTGTGGTTCGTGCTGATCAGATTGAGAATTTAAAAAAAACAAACCCACAAAACCAAAACCCAACCACCTGTAACTTTAACGTGTGACTGTGTGAACCATCTCTGATCTCCTGCTCATTTTAAGTTCCTTTTAGTTGTTCCCTTGAGAAGATGAAATGCGGTTTAATGCGTTCAGTTATTTATTTCCATATTAGAAGTGATTTCACGGAAGAGAGGAATTTACAGATCCTGGTTTGCAGTTCCTGAAGTATGTCAGATCCTCCAGGGAACAGGCCTGGTTGGCAAACCAAGCCCACGTTAAGAATTCAGAAATCCAGATTTTGGCACATTTATCACTGATCAGACATTTGCAATTAATCAAAACTGAAGCAAAGCAAAGGAAGGTGAAATTTTAAAGGAAGCAGCGAGGAGGTTAAGAATTATTAAATGATTTGAAATGCTTCAAGAACAGGGCTCTGCGAAGCTGCACGTAATCAGTTACGGATTTTTCAGAATATGCTCTCGGAAGACAAATTCTTTTATTTAGTGGTTTTCTAACAGTCATCTTGGACAAAGGGAATGTGAAAGAGAAGTATCAGCTGCAGTTCCCGCCCCGGGCCGCGGTTCCACGTCGGATGGTTCAGAGTTCCTGTTCCAGGTGTACGTGCAGCGGGAGAGGAGCGCGTCCCTCCCGCCTCCGCCCAGGAACCAGGAGGAGCTGCGGGTACCGGCGTCCCCCAGAGCGGGTTCGGATGGGAGGAGAGCTGCAAACTCAAACCAGCCCCAATCTTCCTTGGCCAACGCTCCGGTGGGAGCCGCTGCAGCCAACGGCGGGAGGCAGAGGTTTGTCCTGAGGACGGCAGCGGGGCCCGAATCGAAGCCAGGAGCAGCGTGGGGCTGTCGAGTGGCTACTTCCTTTTCCGTTTCTCCGCCTGGTTGTAGTGGGGGTGGAAGAGCATGGTGAAGAGCAGCAGGAGAGGGATCAGCAGGTAGGGCGCGTATATGGAGAGCAGGACCAGGCGCTCGTGCTGCGTCTGAGGTCCCGGGTGCTGGGACTTGGAGAAGTCGTGGAACAGGATGTGTGCCAGGATGGCAAACAGCGTGGTGGCCACGTGGGTGGAGTAGATGATGGCAGGAGTCCTGATCCATTTGCAGCCGCCTGTACCCGAGCAAAAAGCAAACAAGTATTGAAGTAGTGGCTTTGAAGTGAAAATAACATTCACTGCTCTATCTCTGACAGGATAAGCTGTAAGTTATATTAAATAGGTAGCAGAAAAACTACACAAGTACTAGTAGCAACCCAGGAAAATTATCTGTCTTTATGGAAATTTAGAACGATGGTGTGATTGTGAAAGTTTAAAGTAACAAAGGTTTGACCCAGAACTTTATCAACCTTGGAAGCACGCCCAGTGTCAAACCTTGGTGCTGGTTACCTAGAAATGGCCGCAGCAGAAAAGGGCCAATAAGTTTGGGGTTTGTTTCTGTGCTGCTCTCCCAGCTGGAGCTTGCCACGAGAGCAGCACAGGGCTCAGCCCCGGCGGCACGTCCCCGAGTGCTCAGGGCTGACACACAAACTCTGGGGCACAGACAGCAAGTGTGGGGCAGAAATGTGGGATGGGACAGAGGCTGGAGTCCTTGGAGTCCTACCTACCTTTGAAGAAGGCGTAGACTGCGATGGGGAAGAAAGGCATCTGGAGAAAGGCTTCGCAATAAATAAAGGCCTTAAACCACTCTGGGGGCTGGAGCATCATGGGGTCTCTGAAGGAGGTGGCGTACCCCTGCAGCAGGTCCCTCAGCTGCAGGAAAAGAGCAAACCAGCAGGTTAACACATGGACCATCACCTGCAACTGGGGGAACCCTCACCCTGCTCTGGCGACAGGACGGGACCGTCAGCGCAGAGGGACAGCTGAGGGGTCTCATCCTGCACACACGGCTCAGTTCAGCTGCAGGAGGGGCCCCTGCCATTGAGGATCTACTGCATTGGCACCACGGGCACCTCCAGGGTTACCCCAGCACCCAGCACGGTTGTTTTCCAAAACCTAGTCCTCAAGTGTCATTTCCCACCAGGGAAAAACCCAAACCACAAAAAAATCTGCACTGTGGCATTAGTAGATATTGAAGAACTTTGCGTTTTCCTTGTCTGACCCCCCGTTGCCCTCTGAGGTGGGTCCACAGCACAAACACCTGCAGGAATGGGGGTGTCCCGGCAGGAGCTGGGCCCCGTCCCTCGGGCAGCGCATCCCGGGGATGGGAGCGGGGTGTGGGGTGTCGGGGTGTGGGGTGTTGGGGTGCTGGGTGTCGGGGTGCAGGGTGTCGGGACTCAGCCACTGCCATTGGTCTCCATGACAGAAATGTAAATTCCTGCACGGCTTTACGTTGGACTTTGACCGCAGAGATATGTATAGAGATTTGCTGGTTAACTATTAATTAATGGTTTCTGTAATGGGGTAATTCTATGGGCAGTTCTGATGGTAGCCCCCAAATCCCCTAATGGGAAAGCCTGGAGAGAAGCGATGGCCGATCTCACCCCGGTGACGAGGGCTGAGTTAATTATCTTCTACCCA